AATGGTGGAACGTTTTCCGATTTGTGGAGAAAGTTATGGGAGGCAGCCAGAGGCGTTGTGACCAACTTGTAAATCTACCGTAAGATTTCCACACAAATTGGGATGGCATTTTACAATAAAATTCTAGTGTTTCTATTTTGAAATGTCTCTCGGAGTTGGAGTTGATTAGTGTGCGGCGCCTTGTCCCAAATTTTCGACTGAAATGTAGCAAAATAAATGCTGGGTTGGCAGCGTTTAAATTTGGTATTGAATTTCTTTAAAACTCGGCATAACGTCAGAGTTGGGATCAATGAAATTAAATTACATTATGCACGAGCTCAGCCACGTCGCTATATATACGGTTTAACTACAAGCATTTTTTATATTGGGAGATATTACCGGCTTCTCGGAGGTATATACATCGGATCGAATGCGAAATAAAATTGCCCGACTACAACAACCCGTTCCTTTATATGCAAGATATATGTATGTAGTATTTGCATTCGCTTTCATTATTTCTTCCAAGCCTGCTATCACATACCAATTTTTCTACTTATTTTTATCCAGCCCAGCCCACGAAAATCGTCTGGAATATTTAATAGTCAACCAAGTTACAATATTAGTATTCCATTAATTGTCAGCTTTTCAATACAAAAGAACGATTCCTAGTTTTGATACTGTTAAATATATGTCGGGACCAAATCCTGTATAATTTCATGTACAAAAACAATTTTATCAAAATTTTTCATACTGCATACTTAATATGTAGCTGGTGGCAAGGCTCAACACCTACGTGCATCCATCCAACCATACACACATATTCATGCATGCATACATATGCATTCCAACGTTTTTTCATGTTTTTATAGCCTTGTGTGTTTTACACAAGGAAAGGTCGTATATTTTATAAGGATATCTCCCTCAAATATTTTGATTTCATTTCATCAATTTTATTTAATATTCTCCAGTGTACCATCCACCATGCGTGGCCGCTGTTTCACTATTTCATTCCGCCAAGAACAGTTTCAGCCACATAAAAATGAAAAATTGCGAAATGCAAAGACAACATTGGCTCTTTTTCGAAGAAATTTTCGTTTAAAGCGTTTTCTTTTTTGGGGGGAGGGAGTGCAAATGGGTGTAAGTGGACTCGAAGGACTCATCAAAAGACACGCCACATTTCCTCTTCACTCACCCACATAAAATTCACAGATCAGAGGGCTCACATGTTGTAAGAGAAAACATTGGACACGGGGTGGCGTGCTTCTTAATTGCCATATTTTTTTGTCCAACACCTAAAATTGTAAAGGTCGTGTGGAAAATGATGAAAGAGACTTTCACCATTATTTGCCTTATTGAAAAATGGTGGTGATGTGATAATGTTCGTATTATTACTCAAGCACAAATCTAAATTTTGTAGCATTTTACACATGAGTTTGACTTTTACCGTAAAAAAGTGAAATTGCATATTCTAATTTCTTGATCAAATAGGCTGGCATAGCAGAAAATGTGTTGTTAATAAAAGGTAATCCGCAACAAATAAGTCTTTGTTGTTCGGCAAAATGAAAGTCTAGCTAGTTATGAACCAGGTGTTGATACCGAAAAATTAAGTTTGCAATAGATTTTGCAATTTTTAATTGAGTGAGTAATTAGTAATCATTAGTAATTATGTATAAATATTAATTTAGAAATAATGCTGTTAAACATCTATAATCTATAATTTTGTCACTCTTCACTTCTTTTTTAAGACTGGTGACAATGTTTTTTTTGTTTTTGGTTCGTACAAATAACAAAAACAATATCGTTTACTCAGTATTTTCAATACTCGTTTCTAAACGGAAAGAAAAGGCAAGACAAGTCTATTTTTGGTATCGCGTACATAGTTCATGGTATGTGTAGCTCGCATTATTTTCACTCCTACTCTTTGGACGTGTTATGGACAATGTTTCATGACAATCTAGAGCGATATTCTTAACTCCTGCGGATACAACCCCGGCAACCAATATATCTGCGATGGAACACAATATGCTCCATATTCCTTATGTGATATTGAAATTCCCTAAAATTTGGGACAAGAAGCAAGCACATGATCAAAATCGTCTCTCAACTTTCTCCAGGCAGTTTCCTACTTGCTCTTAATGGCATTAGACAATGGAGAAAGTCTTGTTGGCCATTAGAATGGCCATCCTTGTTTGCTGTTGTATATGTAGTTCTCAATGGCCCGCACATACCATTGCATTCATTCCTCGTCCATAAGGAGGAATGTTTGTTGTCTCTTGTTATGGCTATTAAACATGTCCCCAACAGAAATTCCGAATATTATCCATCCAACTTGCCTCGTCTGCTGCAAAGGGCCAACTACGAAAAGACAGCAGGCTGTTGTTGCATTGCGCTCCTAAATACGTACGTACGTAGAAATAAGGGACGGGCAGCCTGGAGGCCGACTTATGTAGAAGCAGACGACAAATATCGTGAATATATCCGCAAAGGCAATAAAAACAATCTTCAAATTACCTTAACAGACGGCGACTCTACTATTAAACAATTGTGTGTTGTACATGGCTCCAATTTCGGAGTTTAGTGAGAACATTATGCAGGGGTTCAATGCATGAAATATGAAAATGACAGAAACAATGTTTACTAAAAGCATTTGTTTAGCCGACTCTTTAAAATATTGAGAAACCACCACTACACGAATAACTCTTTGTTCTTTCTTCATTTTACTCGACCCAAAAAGTAGGAATTTATGAATTTAGATTTTCACTTGTTGGGAGCCGACCAATGAATTTTTCCACAAAGAGACAACACAATGCTAAATATGAAGAAAACGTCCTTTTCGTTCCTTTGTTTCAGTCATAGCTGAATGGCTGACGGGTGAGTGGGAACATCATCACTGAAGGTTTTGTGATTCATGAGTTTTTTTAGGTTCTCTTTCTTTCCCATCGCCCTTCTCACTGTCTCCTCGTATAATAAATGCCATGGAATGTGGGGAAAGCGAAATATTCTGGCTTCTTCTCGACGAGGAAATTTCATTAACTCCTCCAAAAAGGAGTTTGCGGGCAATTCATCATCTCAAGTTGACTCAACATTCTTCCTTCTCCACTTTAGACTATATTTACCATCCAGAATATTTTTAATTCGCATGAAATTGTACAAATTTTACTCAGTGGGGTTACTTGATGCACAATCCTGTGATGATGTGAAGGCAACTTTCAAGTGAGGAAAGCTACATGAGAGCCCTTCATTTCTTTCCTCTCTCTCCCTCTTCCTCTTCTTTTCTCTGGAGAGAAATTTGGGTGGAAAGGAAAAAAGGAACGCAGAGGGGCTCTCGGGACAACCATAAATGACAAAAAATCCGAGAATAGGTTCCTTCCACTTGGGAAGATTGGAAGAAGCAGCTCCACGTTTTGACGACTGACTCACTTTGGGAAAAAAGACAGAATGCAGTGCTGGGCAGCTCATATCGTCAATTAGTCAGTGCGAGTTTCGGGGTTTTCAAGTGAGAAATCAATCCAAAACTGGAGGAAGCCCTTCTTGGAATAAGAAAATCTTTTTGATAAATTTGTGTCATATTTAATTTTCGACTACAAAGGATTGATTTGTGTACGGTATTGAGATATCTTTCGAGAGATGATTTTTAGCTCGGCTTTTCGTGCTTTACATATTTTGAATTTTGCCCAAGATTATCATTCTATAGGATCAGGAGTTGTTATTTTTCAGCTGCAGTGTCTACGGTGTCTTTGTTATGAAAGGCGTACATTATGAAACGTCTCTTTGATCAAGAAGGATGAAAGGAGAAAGCTACTTTCCATTACTTTAGTTAGTTTGATTTCTCCTCCCATTTGATTCTCTCCTTTCGGTCTCCAACCATTACCGAAATGGAGTCGTGGAGTGGGGGAGAACTGGCCAGAGTCCATTTTTGTTTGCACAATGTCAAACTTAATGTTACGACAAGCCATCGCCCATTATCATAATCCTCAGCAGCCGGACGCCCAACTCCACCACGGCCACCATTACTCTGCCCTGCTGCCCCACGTATGTACGTGATGGTGGTGGTCAAGTCGGACGTCCCAGAGAAAGACAACTGCTGAGTCTTATAAACTTTTCAAATTAAATGGACACACCAATTGCCTTTGAGAGCAGACTTTTTCTGGGTAAATGCGAAAAAGAAAATTTCGCAAAATATATTACATGGCGAATTTCCACAAGAAAAGTAGGGAGGTGGGATTGTGGGAATTGTGGGCCACTAATAATTCATTAAAACAATCTTCACAACCTCAACTCCTTCATTCCCCTTAATTGCTCTATCTTCACCCCATAATGAATAAAAAAGGAATAAAACTAATGAGACTCAAAAAAGGAGTAAAGTGGAAAGGATGTAAATTGCTCTAATAATTAGGCGGAAGCCATTACATTACAATTTCGAGAAAAAACTCAACCTTGGTTTGCAAACAAATTGATGAGATTAAGGATATGCTCCAGCAATCGCTAAATTACATGTTGAAAGGAAATATTTTGCCCTTCTTATTATTTCGCGTAGACAATTGTGTATGTAAAGTTAGCGGAACATAGCTGCTGTTCATAGTTAACTAACTCTTTCCGTGAACCTAGCAAACCGATGAAGGATTTTATGGCCGTAATAATTTCGGATTGAGATGGCTGAGGGTAATAAAGGAGCAATTATGCAAATTGTAAATGCTAAAGTAGGGCAAACTTTCAAGTATGCTGGCATAGAAAAGAATTGTTAGGTAGCACGGTTTATGAATGATCACGAGAACACAGGGTACTTGGAATAATATTAAATGGCAGGATTTTACCAAGGTTCTGACAATTAAGTGTCCCTGGATTCTGTCGAAAGCCGAGTGAAGTATTGGTTAAATTGTTTACGAATGAAATCTAAGCCCAACTTTAAATATGGTGAAAGTACTTTCATCGCGTTTTAGTTATCATTCATTGCATAATAGTTTAAGCCTTACGTCAACTTGTTAATATTTATTATGCATACGCACACACGATTTGTTTTGTTGTTGTTGTCATTTCATTGCTCGTTTTATTGCATTACTCTTAATTCCCCCAATGCGTTTATTTACATTTTGAAATTACTCTCTTGCTGAACACACATTGGAGTTCTGTCCTCACTAATTGTGATGAATGGCTGATTGTTAATTAGAAAGGGTGTTAATTAAGGCGATAATAGATATTAATGAGCAACAACACATAAAAACTCTAATTAAAATGCATTATGTAACTCGGAAATACAAATTATAAAATCATATGCCGCACATAATGCCAGCCTAACTTTTACTTTCCAAAACATAACTTATGTTTTAGGAAAGTTAAAGCTTTGATTCCTTGTTACATACGTTTGGAACATTTTTTCAGAATAAATCAAACTCCATTCTCATAGCCTACGAGTCACCAGTCAGGATTAGTTTTGATTTGAGTTTTAACACTGTATTTGAGTATGTCAGGGTAGTATGAGCTTCATAAATAAATGCATTTCCATGTGAAACATTTTTCAAAGTTATGTCATACGGATAATCAAATTAAACTAATCGCATTTCAGACCATGGTGGTTGCACAATCGTGTTAAATTCTTTACTTAATGCATCTGGGACTGGAGCATATCCCCACAACTCCATTGCCTCACGACAGTTTTTCTCGATATTCCTCAGGTGTTCTAAATCTTCTGGATTGTCCTTAAAATGATCGACCCAAACGTAGGGTTGCACATCAGCGAACGAATTAGGAGTCGGACTTTTTGAATCCCTTGCAGCATTTATGTTTAAGAATTGTTGAACGCTGGGATGCAACTGCAAGCGAAAATGATGCAAAATGACTTCAAACCCGTGATCAAGTTGGTTGAAAATATCTTCATAGCGAAGAACCCTGGTTCAGAAAACAAATGGTGAATAATACACTAAAAATTATGTAATAATTCCTAAAATATTGGACGTACAAAAAAGTGTCGGGATACTTTTCCCTGAGTTCTTCTGCAGCGTAAAAGTCGTCCACCATATCGGAGCAAAGTTTGGCAGGGTCATGACATGCGACACTTTCACTGCATCGAAGGTTGGATTCATCATTTATGCGAGAGTGAATAACTGCTCGAGGGTCTCGGACCAAGTGAAGGACTCGAACATCGAGTTGTTCGTCAACAAGAAAAGTCTCGGACAATTTAAGTCTCAGGCGGACGAGGTTGACGGCTTGGTACGGAAAGAGGGAGCACATCTCTGAGAGAAAGCCAGCGTCCATGCAGAGCTGTCTGGTTTTTTGACAATATTTCCACAGTCTAAAGTTCTTGTTGTGAACCTTTTGGTTTTCCATGAAAAAGCTTACAAGGTCACCTGCATTAGTTTCATAAAATATTGAAATGTTAAATTTAAAAAAATATGCATAACCTGATACGACCAATTCCCCAATTTAAAAAAAAAACTGACAGTACCAACTTGTGAGTATTCGCAATTGAGAAGTGCCTTTATTGTGCCCGTTGCATTGTCCGCCTCGTCCAAAGAAAGTGGTCCAATTTGTACAACGCCCTTGTGAATTAGTGGCTCATTGTGATAAAATGTCAGTGGGTGAGAGGCCACTGCTTCACCAACAAAGTCAGAACCTGATCCCCATGTGGCAAAGATCAAGTTCCGAATCGGTTTCCCACCATCCGACAGCTGCAACTTTGCAAGACTCCTGTGAATACATTATTAAATATATTAGCGTAAAATAAACCTCGCATTCCCTGCTTTGCAAAAATAACATTTTCTGATTTGACGTACACTTCTGCTGGGTCTTCACCCTCCAAACTCGCAAACTTTTGGGCGATTGCTTCCCGTTGGAAAGAGATGGAGGATTCCTTAAGAAGTTTGATGGGGTCCGGATCCTCGGGATCAGCCGGGGGGAAATAATCATCATCTGGTTCCGGCTGTGCATTCAATAGTTCTTTGTTGTTGGGATCAGTCATGATTTCTTCACCGGGGTCAGGGTCGTGTTGGGTCACTATAATCAGGTCAGGCTCGTCTTGCGGAAGAGCAAACTTTTCGCTAGCTTCGTCAATTACATCGTCTTCTGGATGTTGAGCTTCTTCCTGAAAATCGTGATCGGGGACTGCGAGTTCAGGATCTGGTATTAGCTCTGTGAATCAGATTTATTAACACGGTATGATGCATTTGGAAAGTCTTGCACAGTAGTCGGAATAAATAGGTACCCGCTTCTGGAACATCTTCATTTACTGGATCCAATGACGATAGCCGTGGTTGAACAAATCCTAAGTTTACGGCATGATCCTCAAGTAGTTTGGCAGACGAGGGTTGAAGTGCTATTTGATTTTCGAAAGCCTCCTTTCTGCGAGAAAAACTAATATTCACAAGATTATAGAGAACAAGCAAAGTTGCCAATACAGAGCAAACAACAAAGCTCCTAAATAAATTGGATTTATTTATTCTTAATTTTCCCATGATTTTACAGACTACAAATTATTCTATTAACTTTAATACTTTACATTTCAATCAACTTGTATAATTGTATAAAAATGTTAATTATTTATGATTTAATTCTAGCAAAACATATGCGATATAAAAATTATGGTTAAATAACAATTCATACACACACGCAAACACATACATCAGTATTAATATAAGTAAAGCTCCGAGCGATAAGATAAAATGGTATCTGATATGCGAGTTGATAATTTTCTAACGTGTGAAAATGTACTTATATTTACTACTCTCCATGATAAATTAAAACAACAAGTTGATTCCTTGGCTTTGATAACTAACGCCATTGCCACATAGGAACACCAACTTTCTTTCTGAGATCCGCATTATCAAACATCAGTTTGTGGTGCAGACCTGCATGACGCAGGCTGCAACTGCTTCCGTGGTTCGTGAAGGTAGAGAGTTACATCATCTTGCAGGTTTCCACCTTGCACTACCAACACCACTCCCAATTTAAGTTCAACTTTGACTAATAAGGAGAAATTCAAGACTGACGTAGCATAACTAAATTTCAAGATGAAATTAAACGGATGGAGGAGAAATGTGGTAGAAAGTGACCTTCTCTGCCGCTGAGTTGAGGAAATTGGGTCAACGAGCGTATTTATGACTGAAATAAGGAGCAGACGAGTTGATTCCGTGCATTCTGAGTCTTAGGAGAAAGCGACGAGATATGTGAACCTTTTACAGTTAGATTCAATTAAAAGTGGAAGGAGGATAGGCTTGCTTGTGTAACCGAGTTTATGCTACGCTAAATGAATCATAAAATATATGACATTCGCAGTTTTAATTGCATTAAAAAACCGAACAAGCTCATATCACTCAGAATCTCGACATGCATGCATATGTACATGCAAGAAATCGTCAGAAGAGAAAATAGTTTACTCTCCACTTGATTAGCTGGGAATCAAATCGCATTAATTCCGTTTATGAATTTCCATTGTAGCAGCACTACTGTTGGCTGCGTGGGTTATTAGGGAAAGTGGGCGAGCTAAAGTTGTAGGACTGCTGCCATTCTAATTTTCTCGGTTACATATTCACAGCAGCCTGACTGCCACTCCCCGGAGAGATCCATCCACACCAGCAGCAGCCCCACCACGCACTGCTCAACGGAGCCTTATCTCTCCTTAAAACGACACCAGCGTTACACAAACCACCAAACAACAAAATCAGTAAAGGCATATATAAATATTTGCATCGTGCGGACCCAGGCGGCTACATGCACCGTAAATGGAGTCCTAGCAGCCAAGCCAACGAAGCAATATCCATCCATATCGCAAACCGCGATAAGAACGAGGAGCGGATAAATGAGCCCACTTTATGCTTTATGCTTATGCCGGCCGTTATAATAATACGGGTAATAGCAATAAATGTCCTCCTCCTGGCGGTATTCTGTCATCGCGTTCCGTAATCCTCCTCAGCGTAAACGGAACCTGTTATGTCATAGGTTATGCCAGAGTAAAAACTGGGTTGTCGCTTTCTCCAGTCCATATTTTCCGGTTTAATTAGATTAACTAAATAATCTCCACTACATGACAGGTTGTCTGCGCTGCATTCTTGAAAGTGGTTCATGGCGAGTGGTGCAAATTTATTACAAGGACTCGTGTCAATTAAATTGTTTTTAATTATTTTAACAAAGTCGGAGGAAGGAACGTTAATGTAGGTCAAGGTGTCTAAACCCAAACCAAATAATTATGATTAACCAAACTTTTAAATTGATAAAAATTTACATTTGTAAAATTCCCAAATTATTCACAACTCCCAACTTTCCGCGTTTGTAAATACTCCTTCCTTACGAAGATTGTTCTTTCCTTCCTTCCTTTCTTTCTTTCTTCATTTTTATGGTGAAGGGTCTCGCGACGAGACTAATTAGACTAATTTTCATCTCCATTCCAGCAATAAAAGTAAATTAGATGTTCAACTTTAACCCTTCTCTCGACTTGGAAAATTTTTGTCGTGAAATATATTCCGATTTTTGTATGCATGTGGATGAAACACAAATGTGTTCTGGAATAGTAGTTTCCTCCTTCCGCTTTTAAACGACCGAGTGAGTCAAAATCCGGAGATTCGATGGGCCATTTTATTTTAGTTTGTACTTCCACGATAGTGAAAGTACGGATGGACGGATGGACGAGGAGAAATTCACGGGAGAGGTTGAATCTAAGCCACGCTGCAGCGAGTGGATGGGAGCAGAAAGAATGAGGAGAAACGCATGTTTGGTATGCAAATCCGAAAAAATTCGAGGGAAAGAAATTGCAAGCAAGTAACAGCGAATACATTTGTGTGTCTGGTAGAACTTGCTCACGTGTGTTTGTTGGTGCATGGAAATCAGGTCGTTTATGGCAAAAAGTGACTTGGCTAAAACATTGTGAGCCGTTGATTTGAATATCAGTTGTACTCGGTTGATCAAAACTTTTCCAAGTCGCTTCTGCCAAGAGACATTCAGCTAAATAACAACTAAACCCTGTTCCACACACAAATCGAACGGATTCAATCCAAGCAGAGACTGGACGAGGATAACAAAATTGTTCAGTTTATTCTATTGAGCGATTGCAGCAGAGATGGAAAATCATCCAAGGGAACAAATGCTCCTCAAAATTTTCAACCAATGCCCAATCATATTTGGCCTACCTTGAAATCTTCTTTAGAATAATTGTTTGTCGCACAATGCTTGGGTCGACAAATTGTACCTACGCTTTTACGTACATGAAGTATTCCACTGTTGACTGCTGTCCAATCCTAACATTTCATGGATTCACTTTCACGGTGCTCCTTCTTCAAACTTGTGAAAATCCTGAGAGTGTCACCGTCAAATCTTGATGATGAACAATATGCTTAAGTAATGAGTTGTAGTCATTCCGCTGATGTGATGTAATTAACCCTCTACTCCACAACTCCACATTAATTAGCAGCATGTAATTAACACTCAACTCTAAAATAAATACGAGGTGACACTCATTTCATCATGAGCGGCTTTGCGTATTGACTGACTAAAAAGCTACAACAACCTTACAGACTTCACGTCCCGTTGGTGGTGAAATTAGCGAACATACTCTCGTAATAGAAACACAAGGCAAACATTGTAATGAAGCAGTTGGAGTGAAATGACAAACAATCCTCAAACTTAATGAGTACCCCAGGCACAAATATTGGTTTTCCTCCTCCTAACCAACCAACCAGCCAAAAACCTCATTGTGCAAGCCAACGCCCTTTGAAATCATAAATGACATGTGACACCTATAATGGGTCCTGTATATACATAAATATATGCGTACATATATATTTCTATATACATCTAACGTTCACTAAAACATTACGAAATTGAGACAGAGTGGTGAAATTAAATTGGAAGGAATTTTGCCATTTTTTTATCGTCATCATATTATTTGGATGATGTAATTTGGTCAGGTCAAAGAATTCTCATCGGCATTGTTGCTCGCAGATTTAGTAATAAAGTAAAGGGGCAGTAAGCTCTGAAACTTTGAAGGCCTCCTTTTATACAACATGCACGTTGTTGCTTTGTACTCGTGAATGTGAGCATATTTATCTGCGAGCACGTATGTAGTTTGGGAATTGAGGAATAAAAATCATATCCTTTGTATATGGACCGATGAGCTCTTCGTGTGGAATAAATAAGAGTTGACCTGACTTTTATTGGAGGCTTCTCCTATTCTCGTCCTTTGTTCCCCTGCAGACCAGAAAGATTTGATGCATTGGCCCGATTTCCGCTTATCTCCCTCCACGCGGCCTCCACTTAACGCTTCACCGACCACCTGAATTATATCCAGTCCTGAGCCCGAGACACGGAGAGACAGCAGCAACGCAAATGCAAGCTGATGTTATGATCAAACATTTTTATACCATTATTGGAAAGCTCTCTTGCAAAGGCTGCCATCATAAACAATCGTGGATATTTAAGAGATAAGTGCAGTGAACTATTTTCTTCTCCAGGAGAAAACACAATTTAAGAATATGCTTCAAACATAGATATTTACTTCCAACGTCGCATACTTGTTACTGGCTGCAGCCATTTTGAAGTTGCAAAAAACCTTGGGCGTACATACATAGTTATGATGTAACTAAACTGGAACAAATAAATAATCCCTGAGCAATATCGTCGCATCTTTACATCATCACACCAAGGGTGCGACGACGGTGAGAACCCGTGGGAAAAGGGTAACGTGGATCATCATCAATCTTGTATTTATTTCCTTCGCCGCACTCTTTCATAACTTTCACCACCAGAACAACACTCGTATAACCACCGATAAATAAATAATACCCCAAATATTTTAAAGCATATTGAAAGACAAATTTATTTTTTTCAGTATAGTGCCAGCATTTATCTGTTTTTATGGAACGTGCATCAACTCATATTTGACAACGTATTTGGCCGTTCAAAATTCTGCACTTTGCCTCTTAAAAGTTTTTTAGGGTGATATCTTACATAGTGTTGTCCCACGTAATGGATTTTGTAGGGGGAATAAGTAAGTGGCCCTGCCCTATGAAGGTTGCTCAAAACTTGGCAACTCTTCCCATGTCCGTGGCAGAGTTCGTGTTTGGCAACCATTTGAGAGTTGACTGTCCCCTTTGGCTTAATGATAACTCAGCAAGCCAAGAAAGAGGGTGTATAATGACATGCTTAAGACCTCGAGACATATGCATGGCTAATGTTCTGTTACTTTCAAACAAACATTCTCCTTCCTTGTTACCATTCTCCACGATTTCACTGCCACACAGGCCCCGTCCGTGATTGGTTATTATGTTCTTCAGCACAATCTGGAAGCTTATTTACCAAAGTGACATGAGGCATCTTTCTGGTCTTTTTTGTACGAAGTTATACCAGTGTGTCGTGTCTGAGAGGCTGAGGGTTCTTACAAAACCCGAAATAGAAATAATTCGGAAATTACATACTTGGAAAAGCATAATGGAGTTTAGCAACTTGAATTAGATTGCACTTCTCACGACAGTTTCAAGTTGACTGGAGAAAGTTGCTGTCGAATATTACTAAAAATAAGCAGGCAAGGATATGTACATATGTGCTGACCGGAACAAAAGCGTGGGTCCACTGGCTACGAGGCCCAACTAACTATGTACATCTATAGCACTTACGTGTACGACT